AGTATTTGTAAAGTTAGCTTTGGTAAAATCTAGAACAGGTGACATCAGCCTTTACTGTGAGCTCAGGTACCGATGACGAACTCCTCCGAATGCTTTGAATCATTTCTTTGTTATTTAACAAATCCCTTAAACTGAAGTTTTTATTTTCTGGTCTATGCCAGTCCAATAAACCAAGGATTCATGGAAGGATTCAGGGACCCTGCCCCCCCCACCCCCCCGTCCTCCCCCCACTTCCCCTCCCCCCTCCTCCTCCCCTCTCCCACTCCCGCCTTCTACTGGTTCAGACCAATAGAGTTTATTCAGATGATTTTACACCTTATAGACCACACCCATCCAACCATATCTTCACCACCACCACCATCTGCCAGGGGGTACGGCTGTCTGTTTCCATGGTAACCCATGGTACCCCTCCTCCCAGTTGACCAGCGTCTTTTGTGTGGCCCATGTGCAGTCTGCTCCTCCTGTAAAACCCGACGTGCTCCTGATGGGTGTGGGTTTTAACGGCAGGACAGAAAGCAGGGATTCTTTGTAATCCGATCTTCACACGTAGCTGCAGCAGCAGCAGCAGCAGCAGCTCCTGTCCCCAGGAACAAGGTGGTGCCACGGTTTGACTGCAAACACTGTAACTCACAAACTCTGGGGAAGCGTCCCCCGGCCCCTCACCCTGACTCTATCAAATTCAGATTCATGATGAGTTTCGAGATGTAATTTAATCCTAATTCTAATCCTGGCTCCGAACAAAATCTTGAACTCAAATTACCTTCTTATTGAATTGTTGCCCGCAAGAGTGTCCTCACAACAATAGCACAAAAATGTGTCCCCACGAGGATAGTTGCACCAGGCACGCACACACACACACGACCCCTCCCCCCCAAAAAGGTGACCTAACAATACGAGCCCACCCAAACCCTTCAACTCTGTTCCTTGTTAAACTGTTTCCGCTGTGAAGTGGGTTAGGGGGGCAACTGTCGACCTGGAACTTCAGAGACCCGTCAGTGAAATGTTCAGGTGTCGGCCACAAACTGAGGTTTTATTTAAAAAAAAAACAAAAACAAAAAACTTTCAATTGTCTCTGCTGGAGATTAGAGGCTACGTCCACGCTGCTGCATCACCAGTTTCCACCTGCAGAGGGGGATGTACAGTATGCTAGTGGTCCTGTTTACATGTTGACGATACGGTTCCGGATCCCGGAGCTATAGCGCTGATTCAGCAGTAATTCTCAGCGCCGCCGTTTCGTGCTTCTCTTTGGAGTTTGTTTACAGTTTTGTTTTTCTGAACTTCCGCTACTAATTCTTGCAATGTTATGATATTAGAGCAGGGTTGACAACAGCGCCACATACAGGTCTGTTTAGATTTTGCCCCAGATCTTTGTATTCTCTCTGTATAGAACTGTATACTGATATCAGTCCTGGAATTTCTTCAACCATGATGACATCATGAGGTCATGGGCTCAAGACTCATCTCCACCTAAATCCAGCTCTTCTGTGAGGACCATGTGTTTTTTGGGGGGGGGCAGGCGTGCAGCTCTGCTCTGAGGAAGAACCTTATCCGGTTCTATTTGAGATTCACAGACCGTTAACCAACACACAGATGGAAAGCATTAGCCCTGCTGGCTGGAAACCCCAACTGCGGTCGTACTGT